CATGTTCCTCCCGTCCAGGGACTCTACACATGGTGTGCCCTGTGCTTGGGATGCTTTTCCTGCCACCCCCTCCACTAACCAATTCCCACTTAGCTTCATACCTCAACTCCCTTTCACTTCTCAAGGTATCCACCCTGACCCCTAGACTGGGTCAGAGCCCCTGTTCCAGACTCTCAGAGCCCCATTACCCTCCCCTTAATGTGCTTATTTAATGTTCATGTCACTCTCCAAACTGTTAGCTCTGTGAAGGCAAGGACAGACCGTGCTGGGGCTCACTACTGAAGCCAGGTCAGAAAGGATGTATCAGACATACTCCTGTCCTTTATGGTGGAGACAGACGCAGAGATGGATGGCACCACCCAGGACAGCCAGGGAAACAGGGAATGTGTGGTTCTAGGGCTGAGACCAGGCTTTTAACCAACCTGAGGAAAAGGGGAGGCTTCCTAGAGGAGATGGGTCATCAGAGCTAGGTCCTCTCAATAGCTCATACTACAGATGTGCAGATGGAGGCTCAGAGACATGTATATGTCAGTGTGTGTGCTCACATCTATTTACATACCCTAAGGAACTGTCCAAAAGTCATTTCATGGAGAAGCCAGGCAGAATCAGGTTTCCCCCATCTCTCTGTTCCTCCCACCCGCTCCCAGCAAGTCTGACCCACCCTCTCTTGACCACCCTGACCTGGCATACGTGGTGGGGGTCCAGCGATGATGATCAGCGTGATCAGGGCTGCAAGAGTTATCAGAAGAAGCAGCACGGAGGCCGAGAGGCAGGCCCCTTGGCGTGAGTAGCAGAGGGGGCTGCAGCCTGCTGTGTGGATCGGAAATCAGTGATGGAGTAGCCAGTGCTGGGGCCCAGGGATCCTGCTCCTCTGGCTCCTCCTCCAAGAAGCCTCTCCCCACGTGGGGGTCTAGAGACAGGAAAGGCTTCCCTGGAGGAGGGGGTTCCCAAGCCCACCACGATGCTCTCGGTTCTGCCTGTGGGCCCAACCCCACCAAGAGCCCATCACTGGACCAAGTCCAGTAGCTGGTGAGTGGCAGTTGGGATGAGGGTCTCAGGTCTCTGCTCCACCACCCTCACCCTCCTGTCCTTCCAAGAGGCTGTCTCCTCAGGAGGCAGGCAGAGATGGACAACTGACTATTAAGCCCCTACGACAGGATAAATTACTATAGCAGACCCTTCATGGCCATTATTTTTATTTTTCAAAATAACCTTTACTTTATAGATGAGAAAACTGAGGCTCAGAGAAGACGAGGTCCAGGTCACCTCTTGCAGAGCTGGTATGTGAATCTCCACCTGCTTGCCACCAAAACTGGGGCCCTTTCCATGCTGTCAACTGATTGTGCATTCTGCAGCCCTTCGGGATGCTGATTGGAATCCCAGCTCCACCCCTTCCTGACTGGGCCCCAGTGAGAGGTCACTTTACTTCTCTGTGCCTGTTTCCTCATGTGGAAAATGGGGGTTATAATATCTACATTAGGGTTGTTGAGACAATTAAGCCAGTTAATATATTAGGACAGTGCTTGGCACATAGTAAGTGCTATAAAAGTTTAAGTTATTGTTAGTGTTTATTGAGAACCTAATATGTGCCAAGCTATATCCTAAACACTGTGGAAATAACAATAATAGGAGACATCCTGCTTCTTAAACTTACTTTGCTCCTTTAATTTGGCTTGCTTGTGAAATGATAAAAGAAAGCTTTATTGAGGACCTACTAGGCGTCTTGCTCTGTAGAGGACACAAAAGCAGTGACAGCTCAGGTTGCCTTCTGCAGGTTTGCAGTTGCACTTAGAAGACAAGGTATGGACAGGTTAAAAGAAGAGTGTGAGCGCAGCTGAGCCCCAGTCCTCTGAGCCCCAGTTATCTCAGAGAAAGAGGTAGGAGCAGGTCTGATGAATCTGTGTCCCCAGGGCCGACCCAGAGACAGGCACAGTAGGTGCTTTGTGAACACTGACTCAGAGATCCGGGAGACAAGGGCAGGGTCCCAATTCAGGTCAGTTCGGGTCATTTCCATCCAATCTAACCACATTTGTGAAGCTGCCTACTCTGCTTGCCTACCAATCAGACCTGTCCCTGTGTAGCTCAGAGAGCCAGGTAATAAGTGTGATTAAGAAAGCATGAGCAAGGTACCATGGGTGCTTGAAGGAAGGTGGGATTTCTACAGGCAGGTGAGGGGAGGGTGCAAGGAGAGGGCATTCTAGGTAGACAGCATAGAAAAAGTAAAGGCCTGGTGGATGATCTGTGGGGGACAGCAAATGGCCTGGTGTGGCTGGAGCCCAGGATGGGTGTGCATTGGGAAAGGGGATATAGTAGGAGATACAACGTAAATCTAAAACCGATGACCCCCACAGCCCAGTCAATGGTTCCATTGTTGTCCGCTAAACATAGCGTAAACTCAGGTAACCAGGGAGACAGCGTGAGGCTAGGCAAGAAATGCCTCCTGGTCAGCCAAGCATTGCTCCTCAAATATTTGTGCAGCACAGGCTGTGGGGGCAAGATGGGGCCACAAGAGAGACTGGGACAGAATTGGCAGAACCGAGGCCCACGACCAGGTGAAAACATTGTACTTCAAAGCCAGAAAAAACATAAGTGCCAATTCTCTCCCCAGCCCCATAGGGAGATGGGGGAAAATGCGGCCATTTGTTCTATAACCATGCCCACGATGAGCCAGAACTTGGAAATAATCAAACACCAGTGTGGAGCAACAAAGTCACTGGGGTTTTGCAGAGGGATCCCAATTTGAATTCAAACCTTGTCTCTCCCACCTCCTACTGATCTGGGATCCCAAACTCATCTGCCTCATCTGTCATTGCCCCATAACAGGACCTCCCTCTCAGAGCTGTCCTGAGGATTAAAAGAGACCATACAGTGCCAAGAACATAAGAGGGCCTTGATCCTTTATGGCTATTATCAGTATCTACCTCTCTGGGTCTGTTTCCTCATTAATCAAATGTGGGCCAAGATAGGGCACCTAGAAGATGCTCAATAAATGTGTGTTCCTTCCTTCAGACTGTCCTGGTCACATGGTGAGTAAGTGGCACATAGTAGGTGCTAAATAAGTGTGTGATCTCACCTACTTTACCCTTTACAGGCAAAGAGAATTGCCCAGGTCACCCACTGGGTCAGGTATTTGACTCCAGATCTCTTTCCTCTATAGGTTACAGGTGGACACTGTATGTGGTGCAGAGCCTATGGGGTAGACAGCATACAAATGCTTGTGCATGGAGATAATGAACAGCCCTCTTAACCAGATGGCTGTCAGCATAGCCAGCCTGGAAGTTGGGAGTAAATCATATCAATATAGGGGGCAGACGTCTGAGGGACAGTGGGAGCCTTAGGGAGCGCTCTTTGTGCCTCTGTAGCAAAAGCCCGGCTACAGGGAACCCCACCTTGGGAGGGGGCTCACAGAGCACGAGTCCCAGGCCCTCCATCCTTTACCTTCCCTTCCAGGGAGGGCTTTGGTACCAGCGACAGCATTGCTGTTGACATCCTCCTGCCCAAGAAAACAGAGTGAGGGGTGGGCCTCAGTGAGGTGAGGTCCAGCCTCAGGGAGCCATACAGAAGAGTTTTTCACAAAGGTCACAACGAGTCTTAGGTGGATCCCCTGGCTCCTCACTCTCCAGCTTGCTGAATTCCCCAAACTCATTACACCTGCTTCACATTTTCATGTCTTTGCCTGTACTCTGCCCTCTACCTGAAATGCCTTTGCCTCCACTGCCCACTTGGCAAACATTTATCCTTCAAACTAGCTCAGGCAGCTTCTACTTAGGGAGACTATTCCTGACGCCCCCTCCCATCATGCGGATGGCTCCTTCCCCTGGCCTCCTGCTTCCCTCCCAGAGCCCACCACCTGAACTGGGTAGCTGGTTCACCTGTTGGGTCCCCATACAAGCTGGGTGAGAAGATTGCTGAGCCATGGTTGGCTCCAGGTGAGGAGCCATGTCAGGGCAGCTCTTACCTGGGGGAAGATCTTGTTCATGTCTCAGGCTCCCGGTGACCAGCTGGTCTCCTAGCACTGGGGCCAGTGCAGGGTAGTTTCCCTGCTTTGTCACCAGGGGCATCCAGGAGGAGGGAGAATAGAAGGCCCTGCCTGGCCACACCCTCCCTGTGGACAGTCCCCTCCCAGGCTGCCCACGTAGAGGAAAGGGCAGGAGGGCCCTGCTCATTCCCAGCCCTTTCCCACTCTGCAGTCTGACAGGCGACTGAATACCAAGGGGGAATTCTCATCCCACTTGACAGAAAAAGAGCCTGAGGTTCAGAGTGAGAAAAGTCCCTCAAGTCACACAGTAGGAGAGAGGAAGAGGTTAGAACCTAAAAGCTTTTCAAGACATGTTTTTCCCTCCACATCAACGATGAGACTAGAGGATCTCAGGCTGCCTATCTGCATAAAGATCCAGGCAGAAATACCCAGAATTAACATTCCAGTGGCTGAAAAGCAGCAGTGGCTCCCTCTACCTTTCTCATTGGCGATATCTGGTAAAGTTGAGGTGTCCATAGAGTGTAAACACACATTTTCCACTGAAATTATAAAGCAGATATAATCTTAAATTATTTTCTTTAAAAAAATGGCCATGTGTATTTAAATTTTTTCAGAGATGGTGCCTGTGATAGGAGAGGGGTGGGGCAGGTTGCTTACCTGATTAACCCCTTCTACCCATCCCACCGGTTATGTGTTCTCCTGCAGCCTACTCCCTCTGCTGAGGAAACCAAGGTCCTGGGAGCTTAAGGGACTGGTTGGAGGCCCCAGACCAAAGGAGGAGAGGTATCTACCTCCAGAAATGAGCTTGGGGGTTCCAGGGAGGGTCCTTCTGCAGCCTGTCTATCTCTGATGCTCATGGGCTGTCTAACCTGTGATCAGCCTTTTCTTTTTTGTTGGGATATAAACTGCTGAGTCCATGAGGGTCTGAGGGGGTGGGAGAGGATAGAATGGCAGGGGTGGCTCTCAGGGGCAGCAGCACTGGCAAGGGCTAAACCCTAGGTCATAAGAATGGGGTCTTCATGAGGGCCCTGCCACTGGCTCTGGCTTGGGCAAGTCACTCCGCTTCTCTGAGCCTCAGTTCCCTTGTCCAGGGAATGAAAAAATTAGACTAGATGAAGGAGGTGTCTCAGTTTGGGGATCCCCATAATCAATTCCCAAGAGTTAGGGAACTGGAGTATTTATTTGCCAGCTCTTGCCAGTCATTGGCTGAGAACTGCCAGAGAGTTTTAATTCCACTGGCCTACCTTAGGCAAACTGATGCCATCGTTGGCACTTGCAAGCCCTGCCGATGTGTCCTGAAATGGAAACGGCTGAGGGGAATGGACAGAGCATCCACGGGATCTGCTAAAGACGCTAACTAGATTTCACCTTGCATTTGATTGCAGGGGTTGTCTGGAACAGGGGGTTCAGAAGTTATTCTGAGGTCAGGACTCAGGTTTTGTAATTGACTAGTGATGTCTGCCATGGGTGTAAGAGTGAAGAGCGTTGTCATACCGGATAACCATTTGCCATTTCCTGATCAACTTGTGCCCTTCAATCTCTGGCCTTCCTTGCCCCTGTGATTCTTAGTGTTTCTTTATGAAAAGACTCTCCACGGATGTGAAATATCCCTTCCTCTGACTTCTTGGTCCAAAGCCACATCCAACTATGCTGGAAGCATTGCATCTTTCCAGGGCTCAGGCTGTCACTGAGAACCCTTGAGTGAAGGGCAGCAGGGGGTCCTGGCAAGATGGAGAAAAGGCCCTGGTGCCTCAGGGCCTGAACTTCCTGATGTCACAGCCAGGATATACGTTGGAGAAGAAAGGGCTTGCGCTGCCTTGTACAATCTCCACCTCTATCCTGCTGGGCTCCCTTGGCCTTGTCTGGGGCCTACTTAACCCTTACCTGGGCAAACCTCTAGAAAGAGCAGGAACTTTGGAGCTGATAGTACAAACAGTCCCATCACTAGTTGTATGACCTCCTGATAGGTTATTTAACCTCTCTAAGCTTTCGGTTTTCTACTCATTCCTGAAGAAAGGCAGTACCCCAGTAGTTGGACTTTTCTGTCCTCCCCACTCAACGCCAAACATCTAACACCCTGCCAGGCCTGCTCTCTCACTTCAACCTTTCTCTTCTTCCCCGTTTTCCTCCCCTGGAAAAATAAGTTTGAAACTTAAAATACAGAAAAGCAGGAAGAATAATGTGACAAAAATCATGTATCCACCATCCAGAGCTAACGAATGTTAAAATTTAGGGGTTTTTTTTGCTTCAGATTTTTTTCTACTAAGTATAGAAAAATTGAAGGTGTCTTCTCACAATTGTATTCCCTTTCCTCCCTTCCCAGAGTCAATCAATTTCCTGAATACGCCGTGTATGCTTTCAGTAATTTTTTTACACACTGCTGCTCTTTCTAGACACACACGCGCACACAGAATCACACTCTATGGGCACTTAACTTTACTAGATATCGCCAAAAGGCTCTTCCAGGTGACTGTACCAATTTGCACTCCCATTAGCAGTTTGTGAGAGTTTCTATCTCTCCAGCCTTGAAAATTGTCAGACTTTCTGACATCTGCCAGTCTGGTAGGTATAAAAATGGTGTTTCAGTGTGGCTAATTTGCATTTCTCTAATAATTCCTACTGCTACCACCAATCACTAACACTTATTGAGCATTTACCTTTGCCACATGCTGTACTACATGCTTTACATTATATTAACTCATTTAGTCCTCCCAGCCACAGATGGGGATTATTATCGTCTCCATTTTACAGATGAGGAAACTGAGGCACAGAGATATTAAGTTACTTGTCCAAGGTTCACAACTGAAAAGTGGCAGAGCCAGGACACAGGCCTGACTGGCTAAAAAGATCACACCTTTACCTCTTCCCACGCCCTCACTACTCAAAAATGTGGTCTTCAGAGCAGAAGCATCACATCAACTGGGAGCTGCTTAGAGGTGGGTCTCACCCCAGACCTACCAAATCAGAACTTACATCTTAATAAGATCCTCAGATTTGAATGCACAATTTGAAAAGCCCTGCTCTACCCCATGCTTTTAGGCTGCCTTTTAAAAATATATTGGTCATATGGATTTCCTCCCTGGTGAATTGTTTTTTCCTATCTCCTATTTTCTATGCGTGGTTTCTTTTCCTTATTGATTTATGGGTTTCTTTATGCTAAATTTGAATAATTCGTTACATGGGTTCTACATCTCTCTCCGTCTATATAGATTGTCCCTTGCTCGGAGTGACTTCTGCTGGCTCCCTCTACCTTTCTAAATTCATTTTTTTTTTTGCCCAGAACCAGGTATAATTCTCATTTCACATTTTTGATTCCCACTGCTCCCCTAGATTTACCCTTCCCCATATTTCCTGTCGACTAGGGCTCAATCTTAGTGTGGCTGTGGCTAGGGGAAAAACTCTGGACATGAGATCAGCAAACCTCAGCTTGAACCAGACAGACCTGGGTTTTCATCCTGACTCTCCCAAATTAATGCTTATCTAATTTAAGTGACCAGTTGTAGCCTTTCTAAGTTTCAGTTTCCTCAACTGAAGAATGGGGATAAGAAAACTTACCTCAGAGAATTGTGGTAAAGATGACGTGAGTGCACATATGTGAACACGTTCACCCTTTGAGGTGCAGAACATGTCCTAGATGCCTTGGCCTGTTTACAGTTACAGAGAGATCTGATTGAGGGCTGGGACTCTTCTAAGTCTAGGGCCCATCTCTGGGGTGGAGAATACTAAGTGGGCACCACTATTTGATTGACTCAAAGACCTGAGAGATCTTCTTCCAGACCCGCCTAGAGGCGAGGCACAGTCCCTGCCTCAGCGTTTATCACTCCTTCCCTGTACCTTCCACAACTCTGGGAGCCCTGGCTGGCCTCCTCTCCTGAGACTGTTTCCTCAACTCTAAAATTGAGATGTTAGAACCCATCTTGCTCTCTTAGAGGGATGTTGCGAGGATCCATTTAAGGTGAAAGTGAAAGTGCTATAAAGGGCTTTGCAAAAGTAGACAAATGCCCTAGTGACATGTCTATACAGACACTTTTATAAGATAGCACTATAATATCGTTTAATGCAGATGATCCAAATTTTGTTGAAGTTTACCTACTTAAGCATTATAAAATTAACAGACGTGGGTGACTGCATAGTGGTATATCTTGAGCTAACACATTATCAAGAGTTTTTGTTGAAACTTTTCATTTCTAATCAGATGCTGACTTCTTTCCATCCAAGCCGTTAATTATTGCTATTTCAATGTTGCGGAACAATTCAAATATAAAAAGCACACAAGAGGCAGTAAAATAAGCCCAAATAATTTAGAATTGAACAAACAAAAATATTTCACTCTTAAAACGGCAAAATAAAATCAAACAACCTCTAAACCAGGGATTCAGAGATGGGAAAAAAAAATTAAGTCTTTATTTTTACTAGCTTCCAACTGAAATGTAGCATTTTCTTCAATTATGAACATAGGAAACAATTGACAGTAGTATTAGCAGTATCTGTCATTTTATCACTCATAGAAATCACATTTAGATATATTAGTTATTGCATATATTCCAAAATAATAATTTGAAATTATAAGTTTTAGAACCAGCACTAGATCTTATTTTGTGTGAACAGAAGTACATATATACCTGTACCACAAAATTTTGAAAATATTTTAGGATATTAGGGTTTTTTTTTTTTTTTTTTTTGCAATCCTTCACATTTAGTTTTATGCATCTGAGAACATTATTCTGAGAAGGGGTCCATAGGCTTCACCAATTTGCCAAAAAAAATCTATGGCATAAAAAAAGTTAAGAACATCTGCTTTAAGCAAATAAGTCATTAACACTACAGGAAGAAAATATTTAATAGTGAAATATGTGAAGCCAACTATAACAGTTATAAATTTCAGAAAAGGTAAATTATGCTTCAGAATTTAATTACTTGAAGGAATTGGATAATCCACATTAATTGTACAATCTGGCTTCCCACAGAGGACTGCATTTCCCACTATCTCGATCTTTCCTATCACTGTACATACCTCCACCCTCCGACTCCAGTCTAGAACAAGTGGTCAAGGAAAGAAAGATAAATAGTGTAACTCATACTGATGATACTCAAAAGCAAACATAAAATGTTTAGCAACTGGAAACCTGGTGGGAGGAGCTCAAGAGCACACTGCGTTAGGAGAGGCTGGGTTGGCAAACCTAGAATTTGAGGACAGTGATAAGTTGACCTAGCATTATAGTCTAAAAGTTTAGAACATGAAGTCTGGTAAGTTTGGGATCCATGGAACGGCCTTCCGAGTTTGCTTGGCAACACTCAGATGGTGACCATGTTTCAGAGACCAGTCCTAGGCTTACCATCCAAACAAAATGTAGATGTACAGAGAGCCTTATAGATAAGAGCTCAAAAATATACATGAAGTAAAATGAAATAGGAATATTAGGCATTAAAAAAAAAAAACTCTGAGAAGGGAATGGAATTTCCTATTTGTGTGTCTGGGTAAGTACAAAATTTAATAGGTCTTAGAGGTTACTGTAGAGCTAAGATACTGATGGTCTCTAGACTTTTCCCTCTGGTCTATCACCACACTGTTGTTGAGAGTCATTCTAAAACGTTATAATCTTCTTGCTTAAGACCTTTCTATGGCTTCCCACCATGCTCAGAAGCAAGTACAAGTTTAATAAGGTCCTCTATTATCTGGTCCCATCTATTGCTAAGCTTTTGCTCTATCTCAGCCTGCTAAACAACTTGTAGTTCTCCCACTCTTTTGCCTCCAGGTCTTTGAGCATACTTCCCCACTGCCTGGAATACTCCCTATATTTTTTGAATTCTCCTTTTCCTCCAGGTGTACCCTTGGATATTGCTTCTTCCCAGAGTACTTATGTACTCCCATAGTACTCTGCTTATCCACTCACAGCAACTATCACATTAGTAGTCTTTCTTTAGACTTTGAGCAACTAGAGTCAGGTACTTGTTTGTGTTGCAGTCCTATCACATAGCAAGGGCCTGGCATTCAGACTCTCAAGTGGTTGGTTCAATGGTTAAACTATAGATCTATAATAGAATATCTGGGCAAAATCAATGCCATTGTGTGGTGATGGTAAGGACTCAGTTGAGAATTAACGTCTATATCAATGGTTCCCAATATGTGATCCTAAGATACCTAAGAGATCACAAAAATTATAATGGAGCTATTTTATATATTTCGAAAATTAGAATGGAAATAACACATTTATCTAAGACAACACCAGACAAATAACGAGAGAAAGTTGTTTGCTTTTGGCTGGAATATCAGTTCAGAGTAAAAATACTAGGTTTCACATGCTGATCTGCAGTCGATTGGCTAATGATGCATCACAGGAATATCTGAGACCAAACAGACCAGATGATACGGCAATTTTTTATTTGCCAATATACATCATGAGTAAAAGTTTTGTGAAAAGTTTGGGAATCTTGGAACTAGATCATTGTGGTGACTACCACTATCTTTGTAATTGCCTGAACTAGTATGTCTCTTCAACCAGGGACCTAAATCAAGGACCTTAGGAATCTGGGAGGTCTGAATCAAAGACTCAAGGGTCTAGAGAATACGCCTAGGACCAAGACAAGCTTCTCAAGGAGCTGGAAAATCCCTATGCAGTAAGAAAGGTGACACCTGTCTCATGGAAACAAGTGAAGTTGGGCCTAAGAAGGGCTAAACTGTTTAGAAGGGGCCTGGAGGCTCAGTTCGGTTGCTTTTGTTAGAATTTCAAGTCAAACACTTTTTATGCTGTGTATGTACACACACACACACACACACACACACACACACACACACACATATATACACACATACATATATATACAAGAGGGATATACAGGGGAGGTCATTTTTCCTTTTTTAAAGTAAAACTATTTTTGAAAATTTCAGTCTAGTTTAATCATACTAAAATAAAAAGAAGGCAGGACACAGTATTTAAATGCCTATGAAACACCAGGAATGACTGGGTATTTCCACATTGTCTCATAAACAAAAGTGGTGAGTTTGTCTACACTTGGATCAATATTTTCAAGACAAATATTATCTCAGAGGTAATCTTATTTGGGAAGAGAAATAAAACCAAGGCCTGGTGAGAGAATATGGAACAATCACACAGCTCCTTTTTATCTACATATTCCTTTTATTGCTGTTTTTATAAGGGAAAGCTTTCTTAGCAGTGGACTGACTCCTATAAATCTACATTTTGTGTATTTCTCCTCAGTTTACTTCCTTGGATATATTTCAGTTAAACCTGTTTGTGATATTAAGGAATGTGAGTACGTACTATGGGTGGGAAACAAGATGATCAAGCTTTTGGGTGAACCCCAAATCACTCCTCATGTTTTGTAACTGTTTTCTTACAATAAATAAGAGACAAGGTCTGCTTGATGACTGCTTAGTAATTCTTCTCTTCCCCATCTCAATGTGTTCACATACTTTGTAAACCTCTATCTTTCAAATCTAGACAAACTATTTTTAAAACCAAAACCTGCATTTTGTGACCAAGGTCTTACTTGTTAATTGTTTTTTTTTTTTTTTTTTTTTGACTCAGACAAAGCTGATGACTTAGGCTGTAAGGTTAAGTATATGACTCACTCATTAGACAAAAAGCACTACTGCAGTGCCAGCATGCCCCTGTAACGAAAATATGTTTGCAAAGTTATTTAACATTTCATGGTAAAATGACACTGAATCATGTTAAGATTCTGCCATACTATGTTACCTGATATCATTCTTATTTTTAAATCTATAATATTATAAAGGAATGATAATAATAGCTTTTGCCAAGTGAAATCTATACTTAATTCTATACCATGAGTCTAATTTTACTGTCAAAATGAAGTTTTCTCTGAAAATATCTTTAAACTTATCCTTGAGATGCTTTCTAACAGAGAAAAACAATCTTTGAAAAGACTCATCAACAAAAATCTATAGCCTGTCCAAATAACATAAAATGCACTTCTGAGAGGATCAGTTTTGCTTTGAGTTGTTCCCTAATTGTCATATTATATAGCAATAGATAGAAATAAAACATTTCATGATTTTCGCATGGGTTGGGTATAAGTGAGGGAAGATCTAGAAAATCAGGAGTATATTAACTCAAATTTCAGCATATTTATTCTTCAAATAAAATTTTAATGATTTCAGTTCAATACAACTGAAAACGTAGTGTCATTAAAGGGCATTTCCTGCTAAATTTCAAATTATAGGTTGTGGGCCATTTCTGAGCAGAAGCATCATGTTCTACTGAGTATTCAGCTTATTAACTAAGGTGATTGATAGCATCATGGTAAGAGGTGGGGAAGAACAATGATCAGCTCACATAATCTGGCTAAAAAGAAAACAAAAACAATGCAAATAATAATAAAGTGGCTAGAGATATTAAAATTAAAATACAATCCCAAATATCCATCTCTTAAATTATTAGAAAAAAATTATAGGTAAAGTTACAGCAAGTACAGTCTTCATAAATTTGGGTAACTTTATTTGCATTTTTTAGTGATTTTAAGTCCTATATCCAATGAAACCATTTTTAAAAGCTCTATGAAGAATGGAAATTTAGATGTCTATTACACTTTTCTTTAAAAAAAAAAGAGCTTAAATTTCTGAGTGAGCAAGATTCACTTTTGTAGGTAGAGGCCCTGCTTCTTCATGATCTTCAGCTTTAGATCTAATAACCACAAGAGAAGAAGCTGGATATCTGTTTAATTTTTGTTCATTCACAAATTCCAAGTCACCATAGATACTCAGCTTCTGCAAAAGAAAATCAATGCATATTAGTAATTTGGATAATGAGGAACCTCTCTAAGTAAGTTTTCAAATAACAATTTAATCTATGGGTATTTGGTAAAAAAAAAAAAAAAAAATTCTATAAACATCTTCAAGAATGAAGAATACTTTCACTTAAAGTATTACAGATACGTGATGCAGCTGCCAATGATGGCCAAAGAAAACTTTCCACTTGTCCCAACCTAAAATATTTAGAAATATAACAACTGAGTGTCAAGAAAATTGCTCACTTTAAATGGAGTTTAGTGTGGTCATACCGAAAGCATTGATTCTGGATGTTTGATGCCTTAAATGATCAATTCCTTTGAACTCTTAGCTCTCTGACCAAACTGTCAAATGATTTGGGGTAAGTTTCTCTGCTACCAAATGTTTTAACTTAATACATTTGGAAAATATGTGCTATTTTAAAAGGCTGTGAGTAGAACAAAGAATATATAAAAAAACATTTTAACACTGATAGAAAAGTCTTCACAAACATATAAAAGCTCCTCAAATTATTACTATCATATCTGAGAAGATAGCACAACAAAAGAAAAAAAGAATAAAAACATAAAACAGAATCACTGCAAATGTCATAAAACTCACTGGAGTACAATGGGAATATCTAATATCTTTTGAAAGTAGGTCTGTTTAGATGTAGATCTATCTCCTAAAGGAGGAAAAGTGAAGTGAAAAATTTTTACTAGGAAATGAGATAGATTTTGTTAACTCACTCCTATGGCAATTCTCTGAATCATGAGTTAAGAACTGAAGTGCTAACAGGGCAAGAGACTAAAACCACAGAGAAGTACTTAATGTTAGAAAGGTGCATTTAAAAGATGTTGCATAAAGAGCACCTTTATGAGTTTAAGTACCTATCAATATTGTTACATGCTACAACATTGATTAACCTTGAAAACACTCTGCTAAGTGAAAGAGGCCAGTCACAAGGGACCATGTATTGGCTGACTATGGCTAAGGGTGGTGGTGGTGGTACTTGGGAGGAAATGGGGAGAGACTACTGAGTATAAGATTTTTTTTTGTGGTGATAAAAATGTTCCAAAAGTACTACTGTGATGGTTGCTTAATTGCACATGTTTCAGATATGGTCTGCTGCCTACTATTTCAAGGCAACGACTTTTCTGCAACAACAATGGCCCAGTATCCTCTACTTTTCTAGTAAGAGAATATCTTCCAGACAAATTCCGTGATGGATGGATTGGACATGGATCTGATACAGTGTGGTCTCTTTAAAACCTAGAATTAACATGTGATCATTTGCTGGGTCATTGTGAAAGAAAAACTTTCACAACTCTACCTAGCAATATTTAAAGGCCTTGAAACAGCAACCAGGAACTGTTTAAATGATTTCAAACATCAGTATGGAAGAAAATAAAGAGATAGAGGTGAGGTGAGGAGATAGTGTAAGAGAATTCCTTATCCATCGGTAGGAAGACAGTAAATAATGTCTAAAGTTGATAAAACGGAAAAATAGCAGATAAAATTTTAAAATGGTAACTACTTGGAAAATTTTAAATAGCTATTGATTATTGTTTATCTGAGAAGTGAGGAAGAAGAAGGTTTAATTTGTTACATGATTACTTCTAAAAGTTAAACAAATTCAGTGAGTAAATACATATTTGAGTTTCAGGCATGGCTCTCCACTAACCAGTTATGTGATCTAGATAAGTTAAATATTTTCTAAAACTCAGTTTCTTAAAAAAATTTAGATTAAAAAGCTGTGGTACTTATATTATTTTTTGATCATCTGACTCTTTTATGAGACGTATAGCTTCTAAATGGCAAGGTTCTTGGTCTTGTTTTATAGACAAAGGAAATATTTATTATAGTTTAAAACATGTTCCACCCTACTTCCTGAGTCCTAGAAGCCTTTAAAATTTATCTTCCATCTTGATCTATTCTTCATTGTATCTTTAACCCCTTAAACAGAGGCTGGCACATAAGTTATCCATAAATGTATGTGATTTACTAATGCAAGTGTTATTAAGAGTCTTCTAAAGCCCTTTTTAGCTGACCACATGAAATCAGAGGATCATAGACTTGACAAATATAGCAATAACTGTTGCTATTGCAAATTTCTGAGGCTGCCTGATCTCTAGAAAGGAATATCCAATATTGCTGAACTCTGTTCTTATATGTCAAGTTTGACCTGCCTGACAAGGACCACTATGGATAACAACTCTTTATTTTTTTTCTTAAATAAATAGCTCAACAAGAAAAAGTGTCATCCCACTGTTTCAAAAATGGCATCATAAATGCGAAGGAACAGAGGAAAAAAAGTGGAGAAAAGAGGATAAAAATCTTTATATCGTTACTCAAAATGACACTGTTTTAAGATTAGCCAAGGAAATGAAATTTTTTGCAAACTTGATATATGAGGACTACCTAACTACATGCAAAGTAGGCTAAAGATAAATTATTTCAGAGCTTTCCTAAATAAGAAAAATAAAGCTACTCGTAAGTTTCTAAGACCAAAATTCCTGACCTTTATTACCACCATTTTAAGTTTTGTTTATAGTGACTGAAAAGGAAGCTTTTTATATTTCACGTTTAAGCTCCAAGAACCAGGTCTGTACTGAAGAAATATTCCTTCAACAAGCTTATGATTTCCTACAAACATAAAGGATCATATATGTAAACAACATAACACAATATAAATAACACTGCTCATAGATGAATTATACTTATAGGACTTAAAATGGAGTTTCATGTTACTATGGAGAGGGGTCGGAAATAAAATCATTGAAAAGGCTTTATGAAAGTAAAGTTTAAAATAGGTGGCTTTTGGCCAAAAAACTGAATAATTTTTCTAATGCTAAGTTCTCATTTTTATGGTAAACAAAAGGGAAAATACCAAGGAAGGAGTACTTACAATATATTTTTAAACAGGAAACATTAATGTGTATTAAAAATCATTTATACTGAAAAGAAATCCACTAAAATGGCAATGCAATATTTCTGAATGAAAGGATTTTTTTTCTGCTTCTTTATCTGTACTTTATAAATTTCCACACTAAATATGCAGTATTTTTATAATAAAAATATAGTTGAAACATTATTACCTAGCCTAAGTGTGGTTTCACGTACAAAGTAAAGCCTAAAAGCAGTGAATCTAAATGGCTGTTTTCCATACATTTTTCTAGAAAATACATCTCCTTAGAAAAGTATAGGCTCTTTAAGGGTGCAGCCATAATTTTAATTGTTACAGACAGGAAGAATAGTTCAGAGAGGGGCAAGAAAGTAACATCCAGTAAGGCAGAATTTAGAGAGAATGTAGCAGCTATCAACAGGACTCCACACGGGTGTTGATGCCTTAGGCTTTATGATCACAGGGGTCTAGGCAGTATAAGTGGGAAAAGTGAGGTATTCCTTAATGTACTTAGAAATAAGGGAAGATAATTTCTCACAGAATTAAAGCTATACAATCAAAACAAAATTTATCATAGCAGAGACAACATCTAAAAGGAAGAAAGGTTAAGAGTTATCTGAAAGGGAGTGAAAGATCTCCAGATCTATAAGATGTGACCACCACAGTGAGAGGCACTAAACACTAGAAGAGGAGGTCACTTACATAAGTCAAGTAAGTAAGTGAGAGGAAAAACTATGAAACATCCATCTAAGAACAATGTGGATAAGAGAGAGTTTGGGCATCCTGGCTCAAAAACACAAATCATGCAGTCTCAGTGGCGTTTATCTTTCTAGTGTCAGAGGGCACACATAGATCAGCTCCTGATAAAAATCACATAATCAACTCTTCCACTTATGATTCCAGAATCACTAAAGAAACTTAAGAATACTGGCTTTGGAGTCATACCACATGGGTTCAAATTCTGGTTCTACTACTTACTAGTATGTGATAGGGGCAATTAATACACTCTCTCTTGCAGTTTTCGTATCTGGAAAAATGGAGATAGAATTTCCATTTTTCACAGAATTAGTGAAAGGACTAAAATGAGCTAATTCATATAAAACATGTAAAACAGTGCCTAGTAGAAAGCACTCAACATTAGTCAGTAGGCCTGGGAACTAGAATCCAGGTTGTGGTAGATTTAAGGTAAATTTCACCTGAGGCCAGCCATTCAAAGATTTATTACTATAGGTATTTAATTTGTTAATATAGGATTTAAAATGCATGGGGTAACTCAAAAGGAAGTTAATAGGCACAGGCAATCTACGTAAGATGTATAATTTCATTTTATAAGGAACAGTAAAATGATTAAAATATGGACATCAGAACTAAACAAGAACACAAGTAGGTAATGCAGCTAGAGGATGTCATCAGTATATTCATAAGTAGATGAATGTTACAGGAATTTATGCATTTTCTAACACTTCCACAATTCCCAATCCTGTCCAACTTTATCCAATTTATTTAATTTCCTAATTTAAGCTCTTTTAATCGAGTCAATTCCTTATAGTACTTCCCTAACAGTAAGCTTATTCTTGTCTGTACCTGGGAAAATTGCCTACCCAGGCCCCCCTAATCTCTACTAATCCTTACCTTACTATCCATTCCTCAAGGTTAAGGTCAAGATCAACATTATCTAAAAGCCTTAATTGATAATTCCAGTACACAGTCTCTGCTTTCCTTAACACTTTATACATTTATTATTTTTGCCACTTAACCACTTTATCAGACATAGGAAAGATGGTACACAGGAAAAAAAACAAAGGAGTTGTGAGTCAAAAGACAAGAGCTTAATTCTAGCCTCAATACTTTCATTGCTGTGTTATCTTAGGAAGGTTAACTAGACTTTGTAAGCCTGTTTACTCATCTACAAAATGGATATTAAAGCCTGCTGTAGAGTACTGCTGGACATGTAAGATATATACTTTGTCAATTTTAAAGAACTACAACATCATGCTGTCCCAGTTTCTAGTTGCCTATATCACATAGTTTTAATTAAAATATATATATATATATTACCTTAATTATTCATGTGTAACTCTTACATTAAAACATATCTTAATAGTCTATTAAGACTGTTGTCAAGCACCACACTAGGCACATGCTAATTGCTTATTATTAGGTTCTATTTTAATTTCCCTCCTTTCTTCTTTTCTCTCTTTTTCAATTGCACTTTGGAGGCACAAGAGAATTAAAGTTTATTTCAGCTGGATTTAATATCAATAAACATTATTATACTACATTTAGTTATATAAATAACTTTCCTTGAAAGCTAAATTGAATCATCAAATTGCAGACTTTTCCCAAAACAAAACTTCTTTACCTTAACAGTTATGTTTCTTAAGCCAGTTAAATTTTAATTACCAAGGAAGCCATGACAGTCTTCTGTCTGAGTTATATACCAGAACATGTTAACTCAAAACCAAACATTCTAGTCTTGCTGCTTCTAAAGCAGCAATTACTCTTTAAGATTTGTGGCAATTATTTAAAATTTTAAGTGATCCTAAAAGTCTTCTTTCTTAAATATCACCTTAGAAACTGATGTCAACTGGTTCTTTTCGGTCTCAAAGAACCAGGGAGGGAGACACTTTATTCAAACAACCAATGTATATATAACTATGGTAGTTAGCACTACGAAAAACTGAAGAGCAGTGATTCTTGTGCTGCCAACTTGTAATTTTCATGTGTACCAAACCCCATGTGTGTGACTAAACCACCAGATCTTCTCTCATTCTATTAGTAGAGAGGCCTTGTTTTTCTCGTTAAACAAAAAAGGCATTTAGAATGGTAAATCATATGGCTCAGTCTTCCAATGACCTAAGTGTTAGAATTAAATTTACCTCAGAGGGAACATACTGCTCCACAGCTGTAGCAACAGTTGCACAACAAATCCAGAGCAATACCATCACCGAGAGGACAAGAGTTGTGGTTAAAATCCACCCAGAGTTACTGAAAAAATATCAACAATTAGTCATTTTAAAATTTCATTAATAGGAGATAATAATTAAAAGCAATCAACCTTATGCACTTAGTTTAATAATACAATTTAAACTTTAGTGAACTATCCTTAAAACTATTTTTAAAAACATAGTTATAAAAGGAAATATAATAGCTATTATATTAGGGCGGCACAATGTCCTTTCCTCCATTTCTCAAGTTTCTGTAACATGCTGTATCACTTTTATAATTTAAAAAATCAGACATACTGGCTCTGCTAAATGTAAAAAATTAGAGCAAATTACTGTTAAGGGTATTGAAATACTAAATGAAATAAGACAAATGAAATTGTCCTATAAATGGTACACTACTATAAAAATGTCATATATATTATTTTGCAAGATATTATGATGATACTCGCTTTAAGAAAATTCAATATTCCAGAGTTAAGGTGTAGAATAGGTAAATTATGAAATCATTTGTTTTATAAAGGGATCCACAAGAGGCTTCCAGAAGTTAGCTTTTCTAGAATAGATCAAATACTTAATTTGCTACAATTGATGTATATTTCAATTTACAAGAGTACATCTAGTATGAGGGCATTCTGTACCTATAACAGTATATCTTAGTAAAGATATAGTTATATTTTCTTTTATGATTAAAATATCTTCAGGTAGAAAGCCAGTTACAAGAATCAGCAACTAAAGCTCTTCCCATAATTGACCTAATATTTGCCAAACTATAAAGATTCCAGGAACAGGAAAAAAATCAAGCTATTTTTAGATAGTTAAGAGTCTAATTCTGAAAAACTATGGATTTAAAACAGGTAGTCCAATTTTCATATCTGTGCTCATACAACACTAATAAAATACCTGGACTTACCACCATAACCCATTCACTTGATGGTTTGTCAAAACTTGAACATGCTAAGGAAAAAATATGTATAGTCATTGTTCGTCTCCTAGCAAAACAGGCAGAAAATGCACTGCATCTAAAAGCAGAAACTCCTATGTGATGTTTTAAGTATTCCAATTTAGAAAGATAATAGAGTAAAAAATATTTTTTAATAAAAAATACCTAATTTACATATTCCAGCTCTAATCTGGGTACTAAGGAATTCCCTTCCATGAAATGAGAAAGATATATTTGATATGTGGATTCCAGTAACAACTAGTTAAGAAGGAAAACTGGAGCTCATTTTATAAAGTCAATCTGCTTCTTCAACCTCCACAACAAAACAATCCTACAGATTCTTGACTATCGCCATTCTCTCTTGCTCTCCTTATCCATTGCCCTAGTTCAGGCCTCATAATTTCTTGCCTGATTTACCAAAGTTCTCAAATCTGGTCCAGGATTCTTCCTGATATTAAAACGATTACTTTCTTGCTCTTATCTAGTTTCTGTCTCTCTAGCCTGGTCAAATCTCCGATTCACCTGATTCTTCACATGTATTAATGTATTTTACACATTCTTTAGGAAGCCAGCGTAGCTGAAAATAATTAAACAAATGTGAAGTAAATAGCAAAAATCTCTATTCATCATTAAGACTTACTTTCATCTTATCTGTAAATTCTCCTTTTGAAATCTCTGACAGACTTAGGTATACTCTCTGTACTGTGTATATGAGAGGTGTATATATGTGTATACAATATACAGCAATTATTATTGTGTTGTTCATTATTTGCATGCTTGTCTCTACCATACCATGCTAGACCTAAAAACTCCACAGAGGCAGAGACAGAACATCTTTTCTTAGGTCTCAAGTCCCTAAAACACTGCCTGGTATATAACAGACTCTGGAAAAAGAAATGGCAAGTGAAAAAATGAGTGCGATCTCAATTTCTATTGTGGAAGGCAAGGGTACCTTCATAACAGCTATGTGGTACAATAAGAAGCACTGTAGTAAGAGTTAGAAGACCAGATTCCACTCACTGGTGATCTTGCATGCAATCATGGAAAACCATGACCTTTCAGAAAGTAGATAGCTATGGCACAACAGGATGAGTAGAAGATGTAGAATTAGAAAACCTGGGTTTGAATTTTAACATAGTAAATGTATAACTTTGGGGGTAGTTGATTCACCTCTCTGATCTACCTACTTATCACAGGGTATACTGTTCTAAGAGTCAGATGAGATCACTGAGGGGAAAAAGCATTTAAAAAAGAATACTTTTTATTAAAATGTAGAATAGTATTATAATAATTCATGTTTATATGCAGAAATTTCATAGGATTGAATTTATAGCTATAGTTAGTTGTTTCCTAAGTTAAACATCTATAAAATTATTTTTAAAATGTTAGATTTAAAATAACATAAATAAGACAAAATGTTAAAGGGTACTAAGTCACCAATAAGATGCCAGGTTGTATAGTACTGAGACTAAATCATAACTTAAGATTAGACAATTACATAGCTTTCATAAAAGTATCAAACTGCAAAAAACAAAATCCTAAATAATGGAAAGAAAAATTGCTGTTTTTCTGCACACAGTCAAAAGCAGGTTTAGAAATGAAGAGAAGGGAAAATTTAAAGTTAAATCTTCATTCTCTCACCCAGTATAGAAATTTGTTCAGTAAAAGGCATTAACTTTCTAGGTTCCAATGTAACCACACTGATATGATAAAACCTGTCAAGAAACTATTTCTATCACAAAAAATTACAGGAAGCATACAGTTTAGGCTAGTGCAGTGTTACACCTGAAATAGAACAGCCCACAGAGCAGCTGGCTTACTGCTCTACCTAAGTGCTTGGCCTGGTACCTGACACAGGGTAAATAATTATCAATAAGTGTTACAGTCCGCTTTCTCTTTTTCTTTAATGGGGGGTGTCTGGGGAGGACTCATATCAGAATTCTTGAGGAGTGGAAGCACACATACTTTGATAAGACCTTCATCCTCAGAAGGCTTGATATTCCTTCCTAAGAGAGCATAAGGTACCCATTACCACTGCCTACCCACTTTTCCATACTTAAGAATCCTTGGCATAGAGCTGACACATCTTAGTATATAGAACACGAAGCCCTCCTTAATCTAAAGCACTTTTCTACCTCCCCTAGCTTTGCGTGTAGTCATGCAGCTAAAAACAAAAATCCAACCCCCAAACCATTAACATATACTTTAAAATTAAAGCTTAATTTAAATGGCTGGAGAAGCACATTTCTTAAGATAAATCAAGGAATCCTAACAAGAAAGCTTTTGTACTGTAAAAAGAAAACTACTTGCTTGGGTTTTATTACAGTACTATGCATATTACCTTTTAAAGACAGTAAGATATCCAAAACTACAAATTTGGTAGGGAAAAGGTACTTTTGAACGGCTTACAATAACTTAAAAATAAGAAAAAAGAACATATCTCTCTGATACAAGCCGGATTTGATCTCTTATACGCATAAATGAAGAGGAATACATACAGAGAGAAGCATCTTAAAAAGCCATCACTTTCTCCATCTTCAAGATAGTTTCTCTGTGCTTGTGAACTTCTCATTTGTAGATCTGCTGAAATAACAAGGTACATGTTTATGATATCCTATACTCTAAAAGACAGTCTCAAATGACTAATTCTAGATCTGTACACTGTACAGATATTCAGTTGTCTTTAAGTGTAATCTGATACATTTTATAATGAATGCAAATTCCTGTGGCACATCAAACACTACCTGGATATTCTACTGCATTAAGGATTTCCTATTTTATTTTCAAATTCTCATTGCCATTGATGCTTTCAATTTAATTACATGTAGACTTGAGCAACAGACTTTGGTTTGTTCTAAAGTTAAAGATTGCTTTATGTTATTATCTACCCACCAAAATAATGAGAAAGTTAATTAAGTCAGTATCTAAAAAAGAAGGTATGAGCTAGTACATTTTAAAACAAAAGCTGAGCTTTAGCTTGATGTTTTATATTCCTATGAGTTAAAATTCACTTCTAGTATAGAAATAGAAATAGATTAAGAACTCACACTTTCAGGGTCGTTTCACTAGTAAGTTTATTGGGAAATATCAGAATATTTCATTAGTTTATATTCAAAACATCCTTCAAAGCAAACTAAATGTTTTTAGACTAGTAGTTCCCAAAGTATGGTCCCCAGACCAGCAGCATTAACAAAATCTGAGAACTTGTTAGAAATGCAAATTCTCAGGTCCTGTCCCAGATCTAGTAAAATTCGAAACTTTGGAGGTGGGGTCTCAAAAATTTGTTTTAACAAGCTCTCCAATCCAAATGTTCATTAAAGTTTGAGAACCACTATTTTAGAAATTATTTGTTCGTCTTCCATTGGTGTAAAAACAATCACACAACCAATTCTACCACGACCAGATTTGACTGCTAATGTTTTTATCCCAAGCAACTTAAAACTTACAGGACATTTTGCTTAGTGATGATTCTTTCAAATTCGTAGGCTCCTGCTCCAACTGTGTTGCATACTGGATTTCTGGCTTAGACTAAAATGATAATGAAAGCAATTAAGTCATTTGTACTTCTTAAGCCTTTCTCAGTAGCAAGTTCTATAACACATCATCTCTATAAATATTCAAATTGAGTAAAAGTAACAGAAATATGGTATAAAAAATAAAACACATTAACCACAATATATTTTAATTGCACATCCTAAACATCAGATCTAGTGCCTTACAAAGAAACAGACAGATTTCTCGCACCATCAAGTATTTAGTCAGTTTAATTTCCTGACAACATTTTTTAAAAAAGAGAAAAAAAGAGAAGGACAAATTACAACATACTGCATTAAATATCATATCCTGTAAAAATGAGTTCTAATTCTAGTTGATCAGCAATAGTTTAGCAGACTGTCAACATTTTTGGCTAAATGCTTATTATCTCTATTTTTTCTCATCTGAAATATTCCATCCTTAAGTATGAGTAATTCATAAATTACAACTAAATACTCTATACTTTACATATATCACTCATCTCTATCCTAGTTATACTCAAGTTGACACAAAGAGAAAAAGAGCTAATTTCACATCTAATCAGGTATAAAGGTGGCCTCCACTCTAAGAGTCAACCTAAGCTTTAACTTAAGTAGTTTTAAGACAGATTCAGAGAAAATTCTTTGTTTTACTTATTAGAGACCCAAGGCTCAAGATAGTGCTAAAAATCACATACTAGCCTTATAGTAAGCCACTCAATTAGCAATAACAATTAAAAGATTCACTTTACTTAGTATTACGAGAAAGACAGTGCCATAACATAATTTGTGGGCTGGTGAACATGAAGAATTCAACTATGGTATTAAAAAGAAGACAGCACGGTATAATGGTATATGAGCCTTGAAGCTAAAGTGACTTGAGTCTGAAGCCTATTCTTGTTACTTATTGGCAGGGTGACTTTAAACAAGTTAGACTCTGTTTCCTCATCAATAAAATAGGAATAATACAACCTTCTGAAGTTGTTTAAAGATTTAAGATAAAATATGTAAATCCCTAGTACATAAGAACCTTCAAGAAATAGCTACTATTATTATCATATCACATAGTAAATAATGAGGTAGGAAAAAGTTACTCCTCTAGAAGGTAACTCTGCTTTTTCAAGAAGCTTCTTATAAGAGTTATGAGGAAAAGCACGAAAAACAACAAAAATTATGTCGTATTGCTTTTCTCTAATATCCACGTGATGTATATTCATGCCACTATTTATATTCAAAGTATACTGATTATTCTTATCTCCCATATCTAGAGGTTTCATCTTATCAACTTAACCACTATAAAATTTAGAAAACTCAAAGAGTTCTTGTTAGACAAAGACCGATGATCTTTAGATAGACTTCCAATGGGCAGAGAGAGGGTAAGTCACTGCGTTGTGATACCCAAAGTTTACATTAGACCAAATAAATAATTATTATTTCATGATAAATATTTGCAACTGAATACATGCTCTATGCCAAGACATTAATTTAAGACATATACATTTATCGTTGGTATTTAGATTAATCTATGAAGCACAGTTATCACCTGGAATATAACTATTTTTCCATCATCAGCCTGAAGATAAAAAGTCCATGAAGAGGTTATGAAGCTCTGTGCAGAGTCCATCATGTCACTCCAGAATGACCTTACCAGAGTTAGAGGGAAGAGTAGATGCATTTTCGGCATCAAAGACATGAGCTTTAAAAAATAAAATTAAATTATGATAAATATATTATTTTTTGTATATGTATATTCAAGAGAGCAACATAATTAAGATTCTCCAAATCCTTATTGGGACAGAGTATAAACAATTAAGTGAATCTGCTATAATTGTTAGCATCAGAGGAAACTCTTAGTTATCTATGCAAATTAACTATGGTAAAGCTTAAAATCCTTTGAATTTGCCACCAAACATATCTGTAAACTGCTTGTCACCTGTATCAGAATAAAAACCTTCTGAATCAGGTCCAAAAATGTGGAGAATTTTAAGATTTCATTAAATAAGGCCTCAATAGGTAGAAGGGAAAGGGATAAGTCATACAATTCTCATCTTTAATGCTTTCATGAAAAAGAAATCATGTATTAATGAACACTGATGGAAAGAGAAAGGAAAAAATCAATCGATCAATCAAAAGAATATATGTATAAAATGTGAAACATCTAATAACAGGACAGGGTGAGAGAAGTATTTATGGGCTGAATATACATGTAGTAAGCTACTGGTAAGATCTTAACATTAATTGGTATTATCTCCTTTCCAATTCTGACTCATAAATGTACAAAATATGCATATCATTTTTAAGTGAAAAAGATTAGAAACAACCTATATATCCACAAATAAGGGAATACTTAAAAAGTGATACATCCATACAAGGGAATATTATGTAGTTAAAAAAATATTCTTTATGTATATTTATATTTAAAAAAAACTATATCCTTGTATATACATAATCTATCTGTACTGGTAACCCTGTCCACTTTAATGGAGGACAAGTAAGTGCCTAAGACATACAGAGATAGGACACTTTTCACTCTATATTCTTTTTACTTTTTGAGTTTTGTACCATGTGGCTATATTATCTATGCAAAAGTTAATACAATTAAGAAAGCACATGTTTGGAGTATAGAGTACAAGGGGTGGAGAAATATAACAGATGACATAGGAACGGTAGGTAATCAGGAGCCAGGCTGTGATAAGTGGTTTGGACTTAAACCTGTATGCAGTGGGAAGCTACTAAAGTATATAAGATAGGAGTATGACATGATGAGATTCCAATTGAGAAAATTAATATCTGGACACAGACTAAAAGAGAAAGCAGAAGGGGTTATAGTGGGAAAATAATATGGAAGTTAATTTAGTAATATAGATGAGAAATGATGACAGTCTGAGCTAAGGCAACTGCAGTTGAGATGGAAAAAAAAGGACTCTGAACTATCAATTCCCCTGAGCCTCAGTTTTTTCTTATGTAAAATGGGGACAGTATCTTCACTAGACCATGAGAAAAAACAAAATGAGATTATGGATGTGAACATATCTTTTAACAGTAAAGCATTATACAAAAGTATAATTGATATTTCTATTTGTAAACATATAATCTGTTTGCTGAAAACTAATTATAAAATATAATACTAAAATAGGATCAAATAGGTTATAAACATTTCAGTACAAGTGAGTATAACCTAAGCAGGCAATTTTGAAAGGCAGTATTAGTATTGTTCCGTACTTGTTCTTGTCTCAATTCAGCAAATGGCAGCTGATTCTGGCAACCAAGATGGCAAGCATATTGCTCATCAGATTGGGAATATGCTTCTGTACATGCTGTAAGAGAAAAACAGTCAAATTACGAGAGAGAGAGAGAGAGAAAGAGAGAGAGAGAGAGAGAGAGAGAGAGAGAGAGACAGAGAGAGAGAGAGACAGAGAGACAGAGAGAGAGAGAGAGAGAGAGCG